GTATTCCTTTTTTTCCATATCAGTCCTTTTTTTTTTCACTCCATAAGCCATTTCAACATCAACCTGATTTTGGAGGTCCCCAGTTGTTTTTTACTATATCAGTTTCTTCCACTTTCTTCTTCTTATTACTCCTATTATATGAATGTTGTCATTTCGATGTCCAATTACAATATTTATTTTATTTTTATTTTTTTTAAAGAGAGAGAATTTTTTTTAAATGTTTATTTTTAGTTTTCAGTGGACACAACATCTTTATTTTATTTTTTTGTGGTGCCGAGGATTGAACCCAGTGCCCCACGCATGCCAGGCGAGCGCGTTACTGCTTGAGCCACATCCCCAGCCCTCCATATTTTTAAAAATTATTTATTTATTTTTAGTCATACATGACAACAGAATGATTTTTGACATAAAATACGTACATGGAATGTACATACATCAATCATATTGTCAATTCTATTCTGCTGCCCTTCCTATCCTCTTTACTCCTCCCCTCCTCTCCCATTCCTTTCTCTCTATCCAATCTAATGTTACACACTTTTTTTTTCTTTTTCTCATCACAACATCATATATGTATTCTGTATAACAATGAGGTTCTCCTTCCATCTTCCGTGCAACTCCCCTTCTCCCTCTTTTTCCCTCCCACCTCTCTTCCCTATTTAGTGGTAGTCTTCTTCTCATGCTCTTCCTCCCTGTCCCATCTTGAGTCACCCCCCTTATATCAGAGAAGACATTTGGCATTTGTTTTTTAGGGATTGGCCAACTTCACTTAGCATAATCTGCTCTAATGCCATCCATTTGCCTGCAAATGTTAAATGGCATTCTTTATCCCCATTTTTTACCTATGAAACAATCAGTAAGCTAATTCTCCTTATCTTCCCCATTTTTTGTTTAGTTGTTTCTAAATTGACAGCATAAAAAACTATTATATGCTATTTTAAGAGAGTAAAATTTTATTTTTTCATCTGAGGGCCCTGAAATAAAAAATAAATAGGAAAAAAGCATACAAATTTGTTTCATGTAAGTTTTATGTGACATGGTAATCTTCATAAATGAAGACCTAAGGGAAACCTGTATGTTTTTAAGCTTAGTTTAATGAAATGTGGAGAGTCATAGAGAAGTATAATTAGAGGCCAAAGGGTATGATCTAATAGGAATTAACTGAGGGGAATTTAGCAAGACCTGTTTGTTGAGATTCTTCTCTATGTACCTATGTCTTCAAAGATAAGGATGTTCCTTTCCTTGGAGTCTAGGAATTCTACTTCTCTATTTCTATTTGTATTTTCTCTACATTCTATTTCTATTTTCTCTAGGGATTCTATTTTTTAAATGAAGGCTTTTGGAACTGCTTCCTGGATAAAGGATTAGGGGAAGATAAGGGTGACCATCCTGCTCTGCTCTGCTCTTTTCTTCTTCTCTTTTCCTTCTCTTTCTCTTCTTCCTCCTCCTTCTTCATCTTCTTTCCTCCTCCTCCTCCTCCTCCTTCTCTACTGTTTTCT